GAGAGAGAGAGAGAGAGAGAGAGAGAGAGAGAGAGAGAGAGAGAGAGAGAGAGAGAGAGAGAGAGAGAGCATCAGTGATTATTCTTGACTCTTGAGGATTATGTTTGGATGTCAAATACGAGATGGTGCCACTGTTCCAACGAGGTAGTTCAAGACACATGGGAGAGAGCTGTGAGATCGGGAGAGGTTGATACTATCAACGGGATAATTTTTCTCTTATTTTTTATTGCCATTGCAATAATCTCACAGATTTGAACTGCTTTTTGAAATGTCACAAGCTCACACTTCATCACACACGAGACTCTAACCAACACAATATGAGCACACTTCGTTTGATAATTCGAAGTCTTACACAACAGAGTCTGGTGTATGTGCACCGGCAGCTATGGCCCTAACTTACCACCATAAGGTCTCTCTCTCTCTCTCTCTCTCTCTCTCTCTCTCTCTCTCTCTCTCTCTCTCTCTCTCTCTCTCTCTCTCTCATTTCCTATCTACCCTAAGGTCTCTCTCTCTCCTCTCTGAACGTCTTCCTCGCTTCCCTCTCTCCGGTCACTCGCTCACTCGAGCTCTACAGCTATGGGCGCTGCGCACTGTTGATTACGCTACACAAGTGCCTCGCAGCCTAACTCAATGCTTGACAGCACAAGATCACAACAGTGCTTCTGCGACAGGCTTGAAACGGAAATTGTGTTGTGGTTTGCCTCTGGACTTTCTACTTCGCTGAAGTTTTCGATCTTCGACTTTTCAGGCCGGTACCTTGGTTAGCCGGCCATGGCTGGTCTTTGACGCTTCCTGAAGTTACCAGATCTCCCTTGGGACTGAGCAGTGGTTTGGAATCAGACTGACAGGTGACTGACTGGCTGCCTTTGCCTAAACAACCCAGAGGCTTATCATACATAGTGGTACGAACAAATTTATGACTTCTACTGAACTAACTGTACACTTGGGCCTACAGGTGGGGATAATTTTACATGGGACACAGGGAATTTGAGACCGCAATTGGGACCTAGACGCTGGGATGTGTGAGATCCTTTTCACCGTGAAATCTCAACGCCATTCATACATGTATGATATGAGAGACCTTGTATCTTCTCTTGTCGTTCTTTCCGATAGCAGTTTGTTGCCCCTGTGTTCATTTGCTATTGTTATTCTCATTTCACCTCATCCATGTCTTTTTTTTTTTTTTTTTTTTTGGGTCCTTGTTGATGTCTTCCGTATGCGTATTATGTGAAGTCCATGATATCAGTTTTCCACTTCATTCATCACAACCACGAGTCTTCTGCTGATGCTCAATGTTTGATTCACACTGTATTTAATATTCATATATTTATTATTTACTCCATTTTGCTCCTCACACACACTGGGGAGGTCGTTGGTTGCGATGATATACTACCCATATGATTGGTCTAGACTCGTCTTCTGGTCCATCCATCCGACACTTCACTGTGACTTTGTCACGATGCACTAACTTCGGACACCAACACTATCAGGTTCTAGAAACACATGCCTGCTGTACTTATCCACCAGTCTGATTCTCGTAATCCTCGTTGCTGGGGATACCCGCAAAATAAAGGGGGACAAACTTCAACAAAGCTCAGAAGACAACTGTGTTTTGCACAGAGGCATACGAGAAAAAAATGGATGAAAACGCAAGCATCAATCAAGTGGGGTTCCAACTTCCAATTTAATAAACAAACATGCATGAGTACTCAGCCATATTGCCAATAAGCTGCCGGTACAGCAGCACTGGAGTTGACGAAACGTTGGACTGAAGACTGCACTGTTAATACTGTGCAAGTCATTGTTGTATAGAGAACCTACCAACTCCAAGTCATCCATGATTGGTTATTCAACTGGATTATGAATTGATTGCACAATTCAAACTCCTTCTCGCCAACAGCACACCACTTCACATTTGGCAGTTCTGTGCCTGAGAATCGCCAAAACACACATACAACACGAGAGGATGTTGTTTTATTCAACTGGTTGTATGAATTGATTTGACGGATAGTCGCCAAGGAGTATAAGAAGGGGTTATCCCCACCCCCCGAAAAAAAAAAAAATTCAGGAAAGAGAAAAGAATCAGAACTTCAGAAGGGAAAAGAAAAAAAAGTGGGAGAACACAAACCAGGACAAGTGGGAGAACACAAACCAGGACAAGTAAACATGGGTTAGGGTGTTTTGCGTGGGAACCTTTATGGAAAATGGGGGAGGTACAGACATCAACTCATTATCCTTCTCTGATGATTATCATGTCATGAACTGATGCTTTAAAAGTGCCCATTAGCGTCCTCACCGATGTTATCAACTGATGCTTTAAAAGTGCCCATTAGCTTCGTCACTCTGTAATACAATACTAGCTAAGTGCCCACAGAAATAACAAATGCTAAGGGTAATAAAGAATAGCCTCAAACCGACTCCGAAGAGCACAATTGACGCATTTAAAAATTGACAGATTGAAAATTCGGGAAAAAAGAGAAGGAGAGAGAGAGAGAGAGAGAGAGAGAGAGAGAGAGAGAGAGAGAGAGAGAGAGAGAGAGAGAGA